AGTGTAGCCTGTGCCTTGCACGCGTCGCACGTGCGTGAACCGCTACACGCCATTGATTTAACGTAGAGAATGCTGAGTCATCAGCGTTCTGCAATAATTCTAGAGATTTGCGTGGAAAAGTGATGAATGATCGCTTTTCTCACTGCACGTTGTTTTACCTGAATTGATCTCTATCATTTTGTAGAATAGCAGTCGCACTATAGGTTCAAACTTTGTTGACCAAAAGCAACCTAGTTCCTGGCCTCTACAGCCGTATTACACCGGCAGTTGGATACTCTAGAAATAGCATAAATACCAATTAATGATTCAGTTATATATATATATCCGTCAGTTGGTGCAACGTAGTCAAACGATTCGAAGAAATCAAGAGCCTGGTCTAATAGAGATTCATCCTTGAGAGTAGTGACAGTTTTATTACTCCTAAGGATACCGACTCAATCAAAAGGTCTCTCGCCTTCTTCAGATCCATCATCAGGGATGGATTCGGCCCATTTCTCAAAGTCTTCCAGCTTGGAATCCAGTACGCTAGGATCCCAGTCCTTGTCAGAAGTTAAGACAATGTGTGGTAGCGTCTCAAGTTCACGTTTTGTCGGTGGTCTCATACGGACCTATGGAAGTCCATTGACAATCTCCATAGGAATGACCCAACCATCTGGAGCAGAGAGTCGCTGTTTGCCTCCTACCTTGGATGATCGGTCGTCTACCTCAATGCCAAAGTGCTCCATCTGTGGGCTGGAGAGGATGAACTGTCCTTTACCAATAGATGCGAACTGGTTCATGATCAAAATAGCGGGACCGCGCTGTGTGTCAGTGTATCCAGCTGAAGTTACAATGGACACATCCGTCACTTGATAGTTATCTATGCCTTGGACATCGACAGAGCGGTTTGTCAAAGAGACCAGGGCACCGATCCATTAGTGACCCGTCTACATTTTTCCTCCGCCTTTCGCCTTACGACGTACATCTGATGGTGCAGGCACTTATAATGGCGACCCATTGTTGCTGTCATGGTCCCTTCATTTAGTTGTAGTTGGTGATGTAGGGACGCCAATCGAGATGGGATGGAGTATTCCTCGTAGCCCTTGTGAACGAGTTGCAGGTAGCGGCGGACAGCTGTAGTATCCAACATAGTAAGTTTGCGGGGTTTGTACGGGGTCTTCTGTGGTTTGTACCCGCCCAAAGATTTCTCCAGGTTGATATCAATCCAAAGACCACGATGGTCGCAGGAGAAAAACTCATCGAAGTTGTAGTAACCTCCTGCCTGTACAGTCACCCCAGAAGTTGTGAAAATGCCGTCGATCGGTTTGCCCCTTTTGTTCCGGTGCTGAGTGGCGGCCGTTCGACCGGGGTGTCGTTGGAGGATAGCTTCTTCCATACCAAGATCGCGAAGACGTTGGCGAAAGGAAGAGGACTTGGTTGAGCTGATGTCCTCATTGGCGTCGACCCCCAAAATTACTTCACAGCCTTCATCGCGCCATTGGGTGATGGCTCAAAGAAGGTCCACCATAAAGGCCTCCCTTGGTTCACGCTGCCGACCTTGGGAGCGAAAGAAACTACGGTGTTGTGCCCACACGGTAGACTCGCCAGTCCCCGGAGGGTTAGGTCGGTACGCAGCCACCACAACCAAATCCCTAGAAAACCTACTCCTTGAAGCGTCGGAAGCTTCGCGAACTTGATCGTCTGATGTTGGCATGGCAAACTTCTTGCCTTGGATGCGTACATATGCCCACCTGCCCAATTTAGTTG